GTATCACTCATCAAACATCATGTGTTGATACACCTCAACAAAATGGAGTTGCTGAACGAAAGAATGGTCCAATCCTTACTGTTGCTCGTGCACTCATGCTTCAAATGAATGTGCCTAAACACTTTTGGGGGATGTTGTTCTCACACCGGTATCACTTTAAATAGAATGCCATCAGTTCTTGAAGGGAAATCACCTTTTCAAATGTTCTTCCCTGATAAAGATCCTTTCTCTCTTCCTCCAAAGGTATTTGGGTGTATGTGGTTTGTGCATCATTTAAGTCCCACAAGTGATAAACTTAACCCTCGTGCACATAAATGTATATTCCTTGGTTATTCTCATACTAAAAAAGGGCATCGATGCTATAGTCCTACATTAAGAAAACATTTTGTATGTGCAAATGTCACCTTTGAAAATATTCCCTATTACTCTACGGAGGGTCATCAACTGCCAGAGCCTTTACTCCAAGAGTCTATTCGACCCCTACGTGTTCTTTCCATCCCTTCATATCCTAATAGGCTCATCCCCTCATGTCCTAAGGTTTATGTTCGTAAACGTCCACGGTCTTATTATCACCCATCTTAACCAATTACAGCACAAGTAGCACCATCCTCAAATCCTTCATTGCTCTTCTCGGTCCATGTAGATCCTACTCCTCCATCTAGTCTCGACATTCCCATTGCCATTTGGAAAGGTAAAAGGTCTTGTACTAAGCACCCTATCTCTAATTTTGTATCTTATGATCATTTGTCTCCTTCATTTAAGGCTTTCACAATATCTTTATCTTCTGTCACTGTTCCGAAGTCATATAAGGGGCCTTTCCCATCTTGGTTGGCGAAAAGCAATGGAGGACAAAATGTATGCTTTGCTCTTGAACAATATGTGGACGCTTGTTCCTAAGCCAGAAGGTGCACACATTGTTGGTTGCCGTTGGATTTTCACAGTGAAGCAAAATCCAAATGGTACTATTGACAAATTAAAGGCTTGTCTTGTTGCTAAGGGCTACACTCAAACCTATGGTCTTGATTACATTAAAACTTTTTCTCCCTTGCCCAAGCTTCTTAGTTCATATTATTATCTCTCTTGCTACAAATCTGGATTGGCCCCTTCATCAACTTGATGTTAAAAATGCCTTCTTGCTTGGAGATTTAAGTGAGACAGTGTACATGGCTCAACCACCTGGATTTGAGTCTAAGGAGGAGTGTGTTTGTCATCTCCAGAAATCTATTTATGGACTCAAACAGTCTCCTCGAGCATGGTTTGACAAATTCAGCAAAGTTGTGGTTACTCATGGAATAACTAGAAGTCAGGTTGATCACTCATTGTTCTTTAAGGAAACAGAGCATGGTATTGTTATCTTAGTCATCTATGTGGATTACATTGTGATTACTGGAAGTGACAGTAAGGGCATTCAGACTCTGATTGGTCATCTTGGTTCGAACTTTCTTACTAAAGACTTGGCCAAGCTTCGTTATTTTCTTGGTATTGAGGTTGCGAGATCAAAGAGAGGCGTTTATTTGTCTCAATGGAAATATGTTCTTGATATTTTGAGAGATACAGGTCATCTTGGAGCTAAACCTGTTGCTACACTTATGGAGGCTAATCAGAAATTGATGTATGATGTTGGTGACCTAGTTGATGGTCCTGAGATGTATAGAAGACTAGTAGGTAAGCTGATTTACCTAACTATCACTCGACCATATACTTTATATGCAGTTAGTGTGGTGAGTCAATTCATGACCAAGCCATGGGTCCCTCACATGAATACAGCTTCAACAAGTAGAAGCTTCCTAGCGCGAAGCTTCAAACAAAGAGGTTGGGCTGTTCACTTCATTGATTTGACTTCACTTTACTTAAGATTAAAGATAGGGGCTGGGCGGGCAGTGAAGGCTGATTTAGTAGATAGCGAGCGAGCAACAGGCACCTACTCCTATCAAAATGAAAAGCAAAACGGATATTTGAAGGAGCCTCTTTCTACAAACCTTTCTATAATATAAGGGAAGCTCGAAGAGCTTTCAAAGCATACTTGAGCGCATTAATCCAAGATCAAAAAGCTTTCCTTTAGTTCCTTTATGACTAAACGGAGTTGGGAATTTAAAGAAAGCAAGCGTTATACACATTCTAAAGTACCTCAAAGGTGCTCTAGGCTGTGGTCTTCTCTACTAATCTTCAGGACATCTTCACATTGAAGGGTATATTGATGCAGACTGGGTAGGTTCTCCCTTAGATAAAAGATCAACTACATGTTATTGTACTTTTATAAGGGGTAATCTTGTGAGTTGGAGAAGTAAGAAGCAATCCGTTTTTGCTCGATCTAGTGCTGAGGCTGAATACAGTGCAATGGCTCACACAACTTGTGAGCTAACTTGGTTAAGAAGCCTTCTACAAGAGTTCGGAATCTCAGTGCAAGATCCAACTCCTCTCTACTGTAATAACCAGGCCAACATACATATTGCTAGCAATCTAATTTTTTATGAACGGATGAAACACATTGAAGTGAATTGCCATTTCATTTGTTCTAAGGTGGCTTCAAATGAGATGATGACTCCTTTTGTGCCCTCTTGCAATCAGTTGACATCTTCACTAAAACTCTTCCAAAGAATGCATTCGACTCCATTTGCAGCAAGCTGAGAGTTATCGATATCTATTCTCTAGCTTGAGGGGGAGTGTCATGAATATAGGTTGTTTACAGCTTGCATTACTCAACAGAGTCGACTATTTTGATCCATATAATCTGCTAGCTTGATTATAGGAATATTCTGATGTTGCTAGCTTGATTATAGGAATTGATATTAGTTAGCATATATGATAGCCACGATTTATGAAATGACTTACCATATTAGCAGATATTTGATTATGTCATCGAATATGCTGTGATTTGATTTAAATTTGATTTAGTTTCTTATCTTGTAATATGAGCATGTGCTCTTTTTATCTAGAAATACTAGAGCTGTGAATGAGTGATTTATCTCATTCAAGCCTTTACATATTATTAAACCTCATTCAAACCTTTTACATATTTCTCTTCTTTTTGTTCTATATTGTATTTCTTCTTGGTATTAGAGCCAGGGTGGTCCGACTACAATGAGGGCATTGCGAGTTCGGCACCACCTATTCGGGAATGGTCTAAAGTGAGATCGCCCATCCGGGAGGTGTCGGGTAGGCAGGGTGGTCCGACCTCAATGAGGGTGTTGTGAGTTTGACACCACCCATTCAGAAATGGTCTGAGGAGACATAGTTGGTTCTTTTTATGGTCTGAGGAGATATTGTTGATTATTTCATCTACATTGTCCAAACATATGTATGAAGGGGAATGGTCTGAGGAGACATTGTTGATTTTTCCATCTACATGTTTTAAATATGTGTATGAAGGGAAATGGTCTGAGGAGACATTGTTGATTGTTTACGGTTTGAGGAGACATAATTGGTTGTTTACGGTCTGAGGAGACATTGTTAATTGTTTATGGTCTGAGGAGACATTTTTGATTTGTTGATCGGCACTTCATCTAAGAGAGAATCATCGCTAGCCAAATTTGCACTCCATTTGTCACAAGCTCTCAGTAGCTCGCAAACGTTCTTACAAATGGCATTAGCAAGACTGTGTTTGAGAATGTATTATCCAAGTTGGATGTTTCAGATATCCACGCCCCAACTTAAGGGAAGTGTTAGCATATATGATAGCCACGATTTATGAAATGAATTACCATATTAGCAAAGATTTGATTATGCTATAAATTATGTTAGGGCAACGAAACACAAAGATCGAACAAAAGCCATACAAAGCAATTACACACAAACACAAGACATACATGGTTCAGCCAAAATCGGCCTATGTCCATGGATAAGAAGAGATTCCACTATGATTCGTAGAGATATTACAATAATAGAGTACCAACACCATATTTATGTCATTTTACCACGAACCATTCCACGAGCCTATCTCCTCGCTATCGGTGTCATTGGTGTTTTTCCTATTCTACCAACCCGCATACTACCTCTACCCATCAACTCCCGCATGAGACTACATCTCTCTCAATCTCATAGGTCTCAACCCAAAGCCTATATATCTATTTATAGAGTTCCAAACCCAATACATTATTGGATAAGGATTACAATTCCTTAGAGGTCAAGACTTGCCAGACAAGAAATTACCTAACAGAATAACTCTAAAATAGAATCCTAATTAGAGTAGGAATTTGAGACATAATTTCCAACAGAATATGCCATAGAATATGCTCTAGAATATGTTGTGATTTGATATATTTTGGGAAGGTAATACTTGTGAATATTATTTTCCAACAGTGTTCATGTATCAAGCTTGAAAAACTGTATGGGAAAGTAATGTGACATCGAAGCTGCCTTAATATCTTCCTAAGCTGTTAATCTGAGCTCTAATGTCAAGACAAATGTAACAATATTTTGTTCCAAGTGTACGTCTTTTTGTTCGGTCTCCTTGTTCCTATGCCATATTATATGTCTTACATGAGATGGATGAAGCATGCATTGGTAACCTTTTTCTCCGAGGAAGGGAATTAAAAGGGGTATGAAAGAAAAGAGGAAAATGAAGTTTCCTCGGGGATCTGTAAAGGTGTTAACAAAGTATCTATCCTTCTCTGTTGCTACCACTTTAGCATTGGGTAATTCTAATAGTCAATTTAGCATTAAAGTTCTACTATCACTTATAGAGAAAGGGTGGAAATAGATGCTCCTGTGTAACCAGTCATCTTCATTGCAGTAAACTCCATAACTGCTGACTGAGACTTGATAAACATTTCTATTGCAATAATTTCATTGTAATATCCAATTATTGAGTTGAATGGAAAGGCCACAGGATTTTAGGTGTGCCATTGGTAACAGAAACAGAGGCAAAGTTTCTTTATCCGATTGAATTGATCTTTAATCATTTTCTCTGATATTGTCACTTTCCTACCTTCTTGTGTAAGTCGTTTTACTTTTTTAATTCGCATTCAAATTTTAATTAATTATTTTGGTGCCAATGTCAGGTGAAAGTGGGATTGAGGTTGTTGCCAGATTGAAACGAGACCTTATCCCAACACTAGTAAATGGTCTTTTTTACTGGCCACTGTGTGATTTTCTTACATTAAAAGTTATCCCCGTCCATTTGCAGGTACGTATTGTTCTTTTCTTTCTTTTTTTTTGGTCAAATTTTGAACTGATCTTTCAACTTCTTCCCTTCTTCGTATTTATATAATTTACTTATATTATTTCGGTTATGTTGGCAGCCATTGGTGAATAGTTCATTTTCATACTTGTGGACCATATATTTGACGTACATGGCAAGTTTGAAGAAGCCGAGTGGTGATTAGTTTTGGAGTTTTTTAAATTTAGATATTCCTCATCATTTTTGCCCGGTGAAACCCAACAAGGATAAAAAAAAAAAGGGCAATAAACCATTTAGCGGAGCCAGTTTTGATTGGAGGAAAGGCCAAAGGAGTTGAACCTCTGCAGTTGCAGGTAAATACAGTTTCAATTTCCAAGGATCGTGGTTGAGTTGTCATTTTTTTTTTCCTAGTTGATACCAGTTGTCAAATTCTTTTTTCCTAATTCATTTGGTCTTAAATTCTTTAAAATTTCAATTTAGTTTTGCCTTTGCATCTAAAAAGATACTGTGGCTGAATTTTTTTGCTTAAATTCTCAGTTCAAATGTTATCTGGGATATTATGATACTATATATTAAAAACATAATCTAGTTACAGTTGGGGGCTTGCTTTGTCAATTATTATTATTATTATTATTATTATTATTTTGTAGACATAGTACTCTTTCGTTACTCTGTTTATTTATAACGGATCATTTTGATAATTGGGTCAACAGCTAGTCTTTTTGGTAAAATCATATTTGAGAAATGAGAGAAGGTTTGTCCTCACAAAGAGAGAAATATTGGTAAGATTGACCACGCAATGAGGGCTGAAAAACTTGGGTTTTTGGTTCTATGGATCCTCTCCAATATAACCATTGCAATTATATCGAAGATACAACATCATTGAAAACAATAATATAAGCACGTATTGTATTTTCGATTTAATAATGTATTTTGATATAATAAGTTTGTATGATAATATGAGTGTCGCGTTCCAATAATCCTTTGCACTAAAGAGAATTCTAGTGCTTGGAGTCATTTATTTATTTATTTTTTTATTTTTTGCCCTGGCAAACAAGACAAGATTACACCACATGAGGATTACATAGATCAGCTGTTGTAAACACAAAGAAGGGATCAACCCAACAAAATAGCCAACAAACAAAGCCACCACAATAGAGACACCCAAATACACTGCAAATACAAAGGCACACCACTGCTTTGGAACATTGCCTAGCTCATGTGGCGTAGTAACTGCATCCCAATTATGATGATTTGCAGGTGGCAAGCTTGGGCGTAAATTGTGGGCTAACTAATCATTAAGGCCATCCCACAGCCCCACCAGCCCATCCGTGTACTGAACATCATCTGTAATATCCACAAATAATGGGCTGAACATACTATACTAGAACCTGCTGGATTGGCTTCTTCCCACGCACCATGATTACCATCGTTACGATCTTTGACAGGTGGGCCAACAATTGACACTACACAGTACTAGGCGACAAGCGAGGATGACGTAACAGTGCACAACGTCGTAATGCAGTGGAGTGAGAGATCGCTGGCGTGCTACCATCCGCAGAAGCTCCATTATCGTGAACTCCATCTGCAACATACTACCCCCACCAAGCATAGTTAGTAGCAACAAATATTCACATCGGATATATATTAAGCTGGCCATTCAGCCCGCCAACCACAACCCATAGTCAGTGACGGCCGAATTAAACACAACGGTGATTGGAGTCATATTGGAGGATGGACTTTGTGTCACATCCAGACACTGAAAAATAACATTCTAATTAAGATAATGAACATTAAGGACACTTTTGTCATCTGGTTTAAGAGAAAGGAGAAGAGTGCATTCATAAATACTTGTGAATATATATATATATATTGGGAAGGTAATACTTGTGAATATTGCTGCTGCTTCTTTCTATGCTAAATAAATATGATTTAATTTCTGAAGGGGGGCGGTCACAACACTCACAACCATGCATCATGGATAACTTCATTTCACATCTGATAATTAGTCTATCTTGCGCATAAATGAATAAAAATGTCAAGCATGGCCCTAACGGGTATAGCAGCGTTGATAGAAATTCGGAAAGAAAAATTTTGAAGTTTCGCTTTTGAATCGTACTCTTGGTTTGAATGGTGCGTGTGTTGTGGGGTTGATACACATGTTTAAAAAAATATATATATGTTAAGCATGAGCCAAATTGAGAATGTTTAACCATGACAATATATCGAAAAAAAACCGTGATATATCAAGTGCGATCTTCACCCCATATTAACACTTTATCTTCTTCTTTTTATGGGATTGTCACAAATTATTTATCCAAATTGAAAAGTCAAAGCAATATAAATACAATCTTTTTATCATTGTCTTTTTATGTTTTTCTAAATATTTCAATTTTACATATTTAAAGTTAAAAGGACTGATAATTTTTAATACAAAGTGAAAGGGACGAATGTCTTCTACCAAAAATGGACAACGATTGTACCATTGCGCTTAGCATTTTATTCTTTTATTTTATTATTATTAATATTTTTGTAATGATAATGGGTTCCAAATGAGCCCTTTGAAAAATATTTATTTATTATGTAGGTCTCAGGTGTATATATTAATTGTAAATATTTAAAATTTATATTATACTCACATGTTCAAACCCATATATATATATTTCACCTGACAAGGAGATAGGATGGGGTGAGTTGAATGCTCCCACACGATTCACACGATTCAGGAGGGTAGCTCTACCAACTGAGTTACTCGACAAAAAATAAAAAACAAACGAGGTAGATAGAATTGGTAATATTCTCCAAGACTATATGATCTCGAATCTCGATTAATCACAACTTAATGTATAAATAAAAATTTAAATTAAATTAATACATTTTTTACGTATTAAATTGTGATTGGTTGGAATCATATGCAAAAATTTCTCAGAATTGAAGCCAAACCCCCTTATCACAATCAAATAAATGGTTCAAAAATTTATAATTAATAAATAAAGCAGATAAGAACGAGATCCTACATCACTCACTCGTAGTAATTATGTATTCTTTAAGGAACTTAACACAAAAAAATGAATTGTGCATGCATATTGTTAATTTATATGTAATTTATATGAAATAGTAAATATAATATTTAAATGTCATTAGGTTTTTGTAGAACTATAATTGGATATATGATATGATTATGATGTGATACTAATTCCTTTATAAATCTTGTAGACAACGTTATATATATATATATATATTATAAATGTTCTATTTTATGTAAATTCATTTTTTATTCTTATTTTCCTGTTTTGTAAGACTTGTACGTAGCTTATCCTTGAATACCACCTGATTTTAATTACAATGTTATAAAAAAATGAAGTGTGCATGCATATTGTTAATTTATTGCGTGTTTTTTTTTTTTTTTTTAGGATGCATCGCTAACTTGATGTAACCGGAGAGGATTTTGTTCCGGAAGGCACATTCCGAAAAAAAACAAACCGATAAAATGTTATTATTGAAATTTAACCTCTCCTTAAGTTGCTTAGGTCACAAAATCCGGAGAATCTGATTCTGCTCAAAGTGAATACGGAGACCTTGACTTACCTTTAAAGCTAAATTAACGGTGCAATGTTGTACCTCTTGAAGGGTTGTTTTTTATTGTGTTCAAAACATGCTTTATAACTTTTCACAAGTTAAGTGAAATAACTTTTAATGCCTTGATTTTAATTACAACCACAAAATTAATTTCACAAAACTTATATGCGAGAGGAATTTTTAATTTAAGATTTGTATTGCATGCATATAAGAGTTTAATAACGAGTAAAACTAACTTTAGATTAGGTTCTTATAAGTTTTGTTTACCTTTCAATTATACTGGTATTGTTTTAGTTGTATTATTATTTTAAGACTAATATGCTTGGAAAAACTAAAATTTATTATAAATACTTTACTAATTTAATGAAGTTATCTATGAATTGAAATTTTCACATCTTATCAAATGTTTATTTGGATTACCATATGTTCTTATTTTTTCATATTTTTTAGTCATAAAAAATATTTATCTATACAATATTTGTATTTACAGATTAATTGATTTTATGTGTTGAATGTTGTTTTTGTGATGTTGGAAGTTCATAGTAGTTTATAAACTTGGAAGATTAGAATGGTTGCTACTGTAAAATGAGTATTTTAAGTAAAAACAACTAACTAAAAATTTAGAAATAATGACTTATTCAAATGATTCAATTTTAAAAGCTTAGTTAAAGGACCAAATTGAGTCCCATCTAGGCTAATATATTTCTTTTTTTAAGTACACAAGGCAAACATGTATTTTGGAAAAGCTTACCCAAAATATTTTCTAGATATATTATGAGTAGGTAATTCTTGGTAATCAATAAAGGCAAGTAAAAGATTTTAAAAAGTTTGTACACCACGGTGATTTAGATACAAAAAGCAATCAAATAAACTGACAAGTAAAATCACAAATCAAATATCGTGAAGTATAATGTTTCTTAATTTCTTTTACATGATCGATATGCTCAAAGAAGGCGCTTAAAGAATGCTTTTTGGGCCGATGCTAGGTGTAGGGCCTTATAAGTCTTTTGAAGATGAAATCACATTAAGTATGACAATTGACAAGTTGGGCTTGCCTGTACTATAGTTTATTATGCCTCTGGGCTTGTATTCATGGCCTGCAATGCATGATCTGTTTCTAAAGGCTAAATGGGCCTTTAATTTTCTTGATTTCTTTTGGGCCGTTGGCTTTTCTGTAAAACCCTTATTCATCTATAAAAAATTTCTTGAATTTCTGAAGGAAAATAAAATAAAATATGACAACCCTTTTGCTCGGCAAAAATAGTTCCGAATGGCTTCAGCATCTCCAATGCCAAGTCTCTCAGTTGCGTTGCCTTTTGGAATGTAGATCCCGCTGTCCCTTTCACCAAATGATAAGTTTTCATACCCACCAACTTCAACGACCAGCTAAATTATTCAATTCCAATCTTTTCTTGATACGAGAATCTAATAATCTGTTACATCTATAGTGTTGAGCCTTTCCGGACTTGATGCAAGCTTATCATCTAGATAGATACCACTAATAATGAGCCTTCCATCATCTTTACCTATAACATTTATTTTGCTTGAACATTTCGAGCACAAGTAAATAATTGTGGACACAAAATTATGCAAGAAGATATGCTATGTAACTTGTAGTTGTACATGTAACAAGACATTGTCTAGTGCACTGTTGACATGCTTGGGTTTGACAAGAATTGGAATGGGCAATGCCCCTTTTTGACAAAACCGACTCAAAAAATCTAAGCATACTTCTAAGTATGCATGTCATGTCTCGCCTATGAAGAAAACAGCAAGCAGATGCCGAGTTAGAAGCTGCAAGGAAGATGCAAGGAAGATGCATGGCAAGAGAAGTTTTCAGAGCCTTCCGGATTTATCTAGAGTTATGTGGAAGATTCTAAATTTGTGAAGAATGTTGTACAAGTGTATGGAAGGTTTTAGTTCTCCAAGAGTAGTATGGAGAGTTCTAGAACCATCCATTCTGTGGCCT